CTTCCCTTCTGGCTCCCCCCATGACAGACAAAGAGCTGGTCTGAGGTCCTGAAACACCGCGTTCTGTCGACGTAGGTGCGGAGAGCACGTACCGGACAGAGCAGTGCCAAGGCTGGGTCTGCCTCCTCCAGGGGCAGCGCTTGCAGGTTCACCACCTGGTTTCGGAAGGGAGTGGTGGGAACCTTGGGCACATATCCAGGCCGGGGTCTCAGGATCACGTGAGAGTAAGCCGGCCCGAACTCCAGGCACGCTTCGTCAACGGAGAATGCGTGCAGTTCCCCCACCCTCTTGATGGAGGCCAATGCAACCAGGAGTGCTGTCTTCATGGACAGAAACTTTAACTCTAACGATTGCAAAGGCTCAAAGGGATGCTCTGCAGTGCACTTAAAACTACCAAGAGGTCCCAAGAGGGTACGAGGGGAGGACGAGGCGGATGTAGCCTCCTCGCTCCCTCAGGAACCTGATGACCAGGTCGTGCTTCCCTAAGGACTTACCTTCCACTGCTTCATGAGAAGCGGCAATGGCCGCGACGTAAACCTTAAGGGTGGAGGGCGACAGCCTGCGCTCCAACCCTTCTTGCAGGAAGGAAAGCACGACCGCGATCGAACATCTCCGGGGGTCTTCTCCCGCGAGAAGAACACCAATTGACGAAGAGGTTCCACTTCAACGCATAAAGGTGTCTCGTGGACGACGCTCTTGCGGAAGTGATGGTTGCCGCCACCGCAGGTGGCAGCGAACTCAAACCTGCCTCGTCCCGTCCAGGAGCCACACGTGCAGCCTCCAAAGATCGGGACGAGGGTGCCACAGAGTGCCCCGTCTCTGAGAGAGTAGGTCCTGTCTCAGAGGAATAGGCCAAGGAGGTGCTGTCGCGAGGAGCATGAGTTCGGAGAACCACGTCTTGGTGGGCCAATAGGGGGCTACCAGCAAGACCCTCTCCTCGTCCTCCTTGATCTTGCACAACACCCGTGCAAGGAGGCTCACTGGGGGAACGCATACTTGCGTGGGCCCCGTGGCCAGCTCTGCGCTAGTGCATCTGAGCCGAGCGTACCCTCGGTCAGGAAATAAAACTGGGCGCAGTGGGATGAGTCCCGAGAGGCGAACAGATCTATCTGTGCCTCCCCGAACTGGTCCCAAATCAGCTGGACCGACTGGGATGGAGTCGCATTCGCCGGAGATGGGACGGACCCGTGACAGTTTGTCGGCTGCCAGGTTCCGGTCTCCAGGAATGTATACTGCACGAAGGGACCTCAGGTGCTTCTGACTCCATAACAAGAGGTGGCGGGCAAGCTGCCGACAACCGGCGTGAGCGTAGACCGCCCTGGTGTTGATGTACGCTACTGCGTAGTGTTGTCTGAACGGACAAGCACATGCTGGCCCGTGAGCAACGCTCGAAGCGGTGCAGCGAGCCGTACTGCCAGCAGCTCGAGGCAACTGATGTGCATGAGGCGCTGGGTTCCTGTCCAGGACCCGCGGCTGCATGCCCATTGCACATGGCACCCCAACCCGTGGTAGACGATCCGTGGAGACAACGAGATGCCTGGAAACTCGATGAATAGGGACGCCGGTCCGTAAGAAGCTGAGGTTCGACCACGGGAAGAAGTTTCGGCGGCATGCTGGAGTCACTGGAACTCGGAGCGAACCGCGATGCCATGCCCACCTCGGGACTCGATCGCGAAGCCACAGCTGAAGCGGTCTCATATGAAGCAAACCGAGCGGCGTTGCTGCGGCTGCGGCCCGCGGATGCCATATGCCCCAGGAGCCTCTGAAATAGTTTCAGTGGAACCGCACTCTTGCCCTCGAACTGTCGAAGACAAGTCAGCAGTGAGTGCGCGCGCTCGTTCGTGAGCTGCGCGGACATGGCGACCGAGTCTATCTCCATGCCGAGAAAAGAGATCCTCTGCACGGGGCAAAGTTTGCTCTTTTCCCGGTTGACCCGAAGGCCCAGACGGGCTAGGTGCCGGAGCACCAGGTCTCTGTGTTCGCAAACCTGAGCTCGAGAGTGTGCCAGTATCAGCCAGTCGTTGAGATAGTTCAGGATGCGAACCCCGTGCTCGCGAAGGGGAACAAGGGCTGCCTCGACGATCTTCGTGAAGACGAGGGGACAGAGCTAACCCGAATGGGAGAACCGTGTACTGATATGCCTGGCCCTCGAAAGCAAACCGAAGAAACGGTCTGTGTCGAGGCAAATGGAGACATGAAGTATGCGTCCTTCAGGTCGATCGCTGCAAACCAATCCTGAACCGAACGCATTCGAGAATGCGTTTGGCTGTGAGCATTTTGAACGTAGTCGATGGAGAGAACGGTTCAAAATGCGCAGTCCAGGATCGGTCGTAACCCACCGGTCTTTTTGGGGACAATGAAGTAGGGGCTGTAAAACCCGGACCTCATCTCGGCTGGAGGGACCGTCTCGATTGCACCCTTCGCCAGCAGGGTCGCAATCTCCGCCTCATGACCGGGGCATTGCCACCGACCATCGTGGAGCGAACTCCCCCGAAACGGGGAGGAGACCGGTGCGAACTAAAATCGCGTAGCCGAATCTGATCGTTCTGATGACCCAGCGGGACAGCCCGGGCAGCTCTAGCCAGGCTTCCAGGAAGTGAACCAGCGGGGTCATCCGAACCACAGACGTCCCCCCGGAGGGGCAGCGAGCGGTCGACCGGCATGCGCGCAGGAGTTACCCCGCCCGGATGCACCGTCGAAGCCCGCTCCCCGACAGAAGAGACCAGGGAAGGCAGAGCGTTCCCACGGGGGTCTGTTCTGCCGGGGGTCTGGCGATAGAGGGGGAAGGGAGGGGCGTACCCGGGGACGACACACGCTCCCTTCCGCACCCTCAGAGACAGAGAGGAATGAGTGGGCTGACGCACTGGACGTCGAGCGCACCCAATCCTGTCTGTGTGCTCAGTGATGATGTCAAGTCTTTCTTTAACAACTCAGGGTGCTGCCCCTGTGGGTGAGCAGCGGGGAGCTGAGAACAAAAGATTCTCCCCCGGCCCTCCACCGGGGGAAGGAGGGGGCCTGCTACTGCCTCCTGGGAAAAACTCAACTTCATCACTGAGCAGCCCGTCTCAGGAACGTCGCTTAGCCTGGCGTTTAGCGGGGCGTGCGGCCTGAGGGGCTGTGACGCCTGCCCTGCGGCTCCTCCACGCCGTGGCCTGGATGAAGGCTGCTGCTGGGGCCGGGCAGGAGGGAGGGGAGCCGCGGGGGGGGCGTCCTCGGCGGCGAGCAGCGGGAGGCATCTGTGCCGACGACTGGGTGGAGGCAGCAGCTGGTCGTCGGGGCAGAATATGTTTGATTGCCTCGTCTGCTTCTGGGCAGTGGAGAACTGCTGGGCAAAGTCCTCGACTGCACCGCGAAAAGGCCAACCTGGGAGAGTGGGGCGTCGAGCAGACGAGTCCGCTCAGCGCTCCGAGTGTCTGCCAGGTTGAGCCAGAGATGACGCTCCT